GGGGGGGGGGGGGGGGGGGGGAGACGTCCTTACAGACTTGCAAGATTCTGTCGTTGTAACCTTACAATCAAGTTGAATTTGTTCATCTGGCCGTGCTTCCTGTTTGGTCTGCCTCACAAGGCTGACATCAATCTGGCAAGTCTGAAAGCATATTTCTGCCCAACCTCCCACTATCTCCTTTACAGCCCAAGAAACTAGGGAGGGTCCCTTCTGAGCCTCTTTCCCCGCCCATTATCCAGCTGCGGGCTAAGCTGCCTTTTATCTGACCGTTCCCTTGGCTGCATCTCTTCTCCCTGTCTCCCAAGGTCATTCCCACATACCATGTCATACGGAAAGGAGCAATGCAGGGTGTTCGCGGTGGGTGGCCTGCACCTGTTCAGTCTTACTAACATCTCATCTTCTCCTCCCACGTGGTCCGTCCATCTCACGCCAATGCAACTTCCTGCTGGCACCTAGCCCTGGTGCTGCTCTTTGTCGCCCTCCGGAGGCAAAAGCAGGCTGCTCTGCTGCCCTTCGAGGAAGAAGATGTCCGTGAGAACATCATCACTTACGACGATGAGGGTGGTGGGGAAGAAGACACCGAGGCCTTCGACATGGCCGCCCTGCAGAACCCCGACGCCGCCCCGCCACCCTCCCAGCAACGGCGCCTTCTCCGGCGGGACGTCCTGCCCCGTCCACACTTTCCGCCGTCCCTGTCCACCCGGGTGCCCCCACAGCCCCACGACGTGGCCAGCTTCCTGGCCGCCCGCTTGAGCGAGGTGGACGCCGATCCTTCTGTGCCCCCTTATGACTCCATCCAAGTGTATGGGTACGAAGGTCAGGGCTCCTCTGCCGGTTCTCTCAGCTCCCCGGGCTCTTCCTGCGCTGGCGACAGCGATGCTGGGGGCTATGAGTACCTGGAAGAATGGGGGCCACTCTTCCGAACGCTGGCTGAGCTGTATGGTGCCCCAGAGGGTCCGCCTCCGACCTGAGCCATCTCGGGCCCGATGCCTCCGCGGAAGAGTGTGAATCTCTATTCCCTTTCTCTGTTTTGAGTTGCTTGTTCTCCGTTCTGTCCAGCAGCTTCCTCGTCCTCAGTTGGAATTTGTCCTTGAAAAGCTGCATCACCTCATGGACTCCCAAATCCTTCCTGTCTACCTGCGATTGCTTTGGTGTGTCTGTCTCTCACAAATGTTTTTCCTTCCATTTCTTTTGGTTGTATATCCTATTTTTTTTCCTTTTTTTTTTGGAGCATTATGCAGGCTCTTGGTTCTCATCCCCCTCTGTCCACTCTGCACTTTAGCCTTGTTTACTTGTCTTCTCCTCCTCCTTTCCATTTCCTTGTTTTTTTTTTTTCCCCTCCTCATTCAAAGGTGCTTCGTCTCTGCTATTTTTTTTGACCGTTCTGTTCCGTTTGCAAGGTTCTCTTTTAATTTTACATGATTTGTGCTGTTTTTCTTACGTTACTTCCCCCCTCCCCACAATTCCTATATAAAATACTCTATGCATTCATCTTCCCCCCAAATCCCTTGGCTCCAAACTCCTACCTTCCTGGATCCTATATTATCCAGTCTTGCCAGCATGGATTTACCTCTCATTCAGCTTGCATCTCCCAAGCCCTGACAGCAGAACCAATCCGCTCGGGCAACGGTTGGGCCTCCCCTTCTGCAGGAGCTCTTCAAGTGGAGAGTTTACAGCGCGGTGGAAGGACTAAACTTGGACTTTACCTTCTGGATTACGCCCTTCTCTTTTCTGACACCAAAGCGGGGAACGGTGCATATCCAGGCCAATGTTATTCTAGGGAGTTCAGGCAAAATCGGTGTCAGGTGGGAACATCCATGTTATAATTTCGTAATAAACAATTTATTTTCTAAAAGAAGGCCAGGGTGAGTTGTGTGCGCGAGCCAGAGAGTGGTGTCTTGGAGGGAACGGTGCCAGCGTGGCTCCAGTCCAAAAATGGGTCTTGTTGGCTGGATATTCTGGATACTGTACTCCTCACACATCTGTTGCAGCCATAACTAACTGGAGGAAGGGTTTTTATTTGATCAGGCGCCTGGAATCCCAGGAAAAAGGACATAACTAGTTTCTAATATACTGGTCCCTCAAGGGTCTTTTTAATTGCAAGAAGCAGCAGTAGGTTAAATTGGGTAGGCGAAGAACAAGGGGGCTTTTAAACGTTCAGATTGAAGGGACTTTTCAATCCAAAGCTGCCAAGCTTGGTTTAAGGCAAAACCTTCCATAACTGCCAACATTTCACAATATTCGTCCCAAGGAAGGAGCCTTTCCTAACTCTCATCGTCCCCAGCTTAGTTAGCCACTGATCTCTTGGGGCAGAGCCATCTATTTCTCCACCCAGAGAAAAGGGGATGGGAGATCGGTGTGCCCGATTTTCCAACAACTCTCCAGACCAGTGTTTCTCAACTTTGGGAACTTTAAGATGTGTGGAGCTCTAATCCCCAACATACCCCCCCCACCCCCCGACAGGTGGGGGGGGGGGGGGG